AACATTGCAGGTACATACCTAAAAACCAATGCACTATAAATAACGTGCTGTATTTTTTTAAAATAGGGCTTGAAAAATTATTCTTCAGCACTCTATCCTCTTGCGTGACCCTGCTGAGTTGGTTGTTTGTGCTGGTTATGGTGGCATTTGTTGCTGGGAAATTAATTGCTTCCATCCGTCACTGGTTTCAAACAACACTATTTTTGCCGTATACAGTGAAGAGGAGCAATGAAAGAGGGTTCTAGTCCTTAAGCAGCAGTATGAGAAGGCAAAATGTCTGTTACAAGATACTCAAAGTTCTAGAAATGGTCTGAGTTTCGGGCTTTTTGAAGTTTCTAATATCTAATATTCTATCAACAAATGATGATTACTTTAAAAAAATCCTTTGATCTCACTGGGAGTTTCCTAGACAGAGAGTTTTCAAAACTGGTTTGGAATCACTAAAACATCATGAGAAAAGGTCCAAATTTTAAAAGGTATTACCCAATAAACCAGTAACTATTTTCTCTGTCCCATTTATTTGTGGTGATATTGCTTAAGAAAGCGGAGGTGGAAGAGAACAAACTTCATCTAAGGAGTTCTTTTTCTGGGAATTGAAAAGTTTTCAATCTTTACAGAGCAAGCAACTGCAAAATTAACAGTAGCAGGAATTGTAGGACTCTTGCAATGAAACACATGTGAAATTTCCGAAGAATTGTGTCTTTCACTGTATGGTCCTTTGGCTAAATACAGGTTTGGCAATACACAAAAGTTTACTCCTATGATCATAACAATCACTCCCTTTGAGGGATTATAAGATGCTAGCCTCCTCCAGCTTCTCAGGGCTTAAATTACTAGAGAATTCAGAACTTCTGAAATTGATGCTGAGGATCTGATATTGCAATCATGCCTCAGGGGAGGAGTTGCAAAAGGAAGAAAGGCTCAGTGCAGGGAGCACTGTCATGCTGCAGCACAGATATTCTAGCAAAAGATCGGATGTGGCATTAACAGCCCTGCTCTGATTTCTATGGAATACAGCTCTATATTTTGTTCCTGTTCAAGAGTTAAAATGTGCGGTGTAGTGTGCAATTACAAGGACGTCTCTTTTTGTCAGAAAAGCTCTCACACAGCTTTGATCAGCAATTAATATGAATCCAAACTTGCACTGCATTATTTACTGTCGTATCTTGCCGTGCCTTCATAGGAGGCAGTCTTAATTCTCAGTCTCTGGGCTGTATTCACCTCACCTGGATAATTCACTGAGCTCTTGGTGACACAATGTGAGCGAGCTGTGAGCTGGGTGTAGTGTTCTGATGGCAGCAGGAGCCTGTCCCTGGCTCCCTGTCAAATGGTAGGTGCACGTTCCACTTGTGATGGAGAAGAGGCAGAGAAGCCCATGGGAAAGATGGGCTTCATCTTCATCCCATGGGAAAGATGGGCTTCCTTCATCCCACACGTACTCCCTGCCCAGGAAGAGATGCAGCCTGGCTGCATTAATTGCTGTAGTGTTCTGATGGCAGCAGGAGCCTGTCCCTGGCTCCCTGTCAAATGGTAGGTGCACGTTCCACTTGTGATGGAGAAGAGGCAGAGAAGCCCATGGGAAAGATGGGCTTCATCTTCATCCCATGGGAAAGATGGGCTTCCTTCATCCCACACGTACTCCCTGCCCAGGAAGAGATGCAGCCTGGCTGCATTAATTGCGCTGCTGATGGGAAGCACACACGGGCGCTGACGATGGAGGTGATAAGAGGCACTGCAGTGTGTGACCCACCCTAAGACTGGGAGCAGCAGTGTGGCCCTTCTCACCGAAAGCTTGATGCTCTTCCTTTGTGTTACATATTTCACACTGACACAAACTACAGAAGAAATCAAAAACTTGCTTTCTTTGCTAGCATCTGATTTGCCTTTTTCTCCGTTCTCAATAGTCAGCTCCACGGTAGCTAATAGCTAAAACAACCCATTTCTGGAAAAAGGGGAAACGAGAAAATTACAGGGCAGATGCAGAAGACCGTATGAAAGGAAAACACCAGATTTTTTTCTCTCAAGTAATGCATGTATATTTAGATGCACTTACAGTGAACATGTAATATACCAAACCACCACCCTCAAGTTAAGTCAAAAATAATAAATAGTATTAGAGACTTTCTTCGGCATGCTTGCCATTTTGGGGGCGATAGCTACCCCTGAACTTTCTTTGCACACTTTACTTGCTGTTTCCTCACTATAAAACTATTACCATTAATGACCATCCCAGTCATTTCAACTGGAAGATAATTTAGACTGAACATTGCTTTGGTTTAACAACTGAATATACATAAATGCAGTCACCTGGGTTTATTTACTCTGTATGTCTAACTGAATAGAATTGTGCATCAAGGGAAGTAATGGGCCTGTTTCTTCATCTCTCTCTATAACCTGTTCCCAGCATTTCACTGCTGCAGAGTACTCATAGGAAACAATCCACGTCACGTAACATACCGGTTTCCATCCAAAGGGCCGGCAGCAGTGGGGATGACCCCCCACAGCCTGTTGGTGTCCCCAGCAGTGGTGCCACGGGAGGAGCCGTGCGGCCAGGCCCCCGCGTGCCTCCACGTTGACAGAGAGGGAGAGGCAGAATCACACCTCCCGTGCCTCGTTACCTAGGGACTTGCACCAAATACAGCTCAGCTGAATTCAAGAGCTAGCCTCAGTGTGTAACCCCAGATCTCACAGAAACACTCTTACTAAGAATAATTTTCCCATCATATGTGCGGTTTTCACGGAGTGTTAATAGATCCTGCTTTGTGGCCCTACATAACCAGCTCTTTTCCAGACAAACTTAGATGTGCCATTCTCACTCTCTTTAGCAGAAATGGCATAAAGTAGTGCACTACCAAGGTCAGTCACCACACACAGGGATACCTGGTATTACAAAAATCAAGCTGGCTACAGAAGATCACACCAACCCAGAAACTCAGTATGGAAACAGAAAAAGAGCTTTTCAAACAGAACCCGAAGACAACTTCACAAGGTTAATACAGAGCCCTTCAGGCTAGCAGGCGTCTTGTTTTCATTATTCTCTGCCTAGGAAGCATTTACCACTATGAATTCATTGAAAAATTTGAAATACAGTAAAATGAGGAGAGCAGACTTGCAGGAAAACATCTCCCTTTGCTACAATCTGTTCAGGAGAGAAAGGAAAGGATATTTGTATGTGCATGTAGGAGAGAAAGAGGTTTGAGGAGGGGGAGTATACAGAGAGGAAATATAAATACCATTTCACAGTGGAAGCGTGAGTGCGAGAATGTGGTATCTGTATTTTTATCTAATATTTGTGCAGTTTCCATCAGTGTATAAAGGAAAACGATTCCTGCTAATTTAAAACAGCTACGATGACTTGCAAAAATATAAACAAGCTGCTATTGAAACTTCAGGGAAAATTATTTGAAAATTGATTGTCTTTTTCACATTTAGGACAAAGGCATAGAATTTCTCTTACATTATCCTAACTGAAAAAAGCACGTTTTGTTACTTTTAAAACCATAACAGCATTGTTCTATTATGATGATATTTTTATTTGTTTTTTAATACCTCATGTTTCTAAAATTTTCGAAAATAGATGTTAAATCTCAGCAGAAGTAGAAATAACTTTGCAAACAACATCTGAGTGTGGGGCTTGGTTAGCAGCAGGTGCTGTCTCCAGCGCGCTCTGCCAGACCACAGGTTCCATAGGATATGAAACCAGAGAGCTGCAATTCTGACGTGTGCCCCGGGACTGATGTGGTGAAACACAGAAGATCTGTCTATGGTCGCCACTCTGCAAATGCAATTACTTCAGCATTGTCTTAGCCATGCCACGAGTTAGAAATATTCCCAACCTGACTCTACAATCTTGCTTAGAGTGAATATCATTTATCCCCAAGACATTCCTTTGCTCCAGTTTGCTTAATTGCAGAATCAGGTCCATACCATCTCAGAGTAAGACGGAACTTGAAGATAGATGTTGAAAGAAGTATAGCAGATGCTTAATGGAGAAACAGACAGATTTCTGCAGTAAAATGCATGCCATCAAAAGTCAATAAAACTTACAAAAGGCAAACTGTATTTAAGTAAGAGGATGCAAATATATAGGATTTAAATACCGATCTGTAATTTGTGACTTTAACCCAAGAGACTAGCAATAGTGCCATTAGCAATGCCATTAATCTAAAGAAAATGGCATTTCAGGAAAGATTTCATGTCCATATTTTTGTGCTACACACCTTTCAGGGCAAACCTGACAAGCTACGTGTTGGGACTGCATCATGCAACATGAGATCCCGCATTGCTAATCCAGCAGAGGAGTTTTACTCCTCAGCAGCCCCATATCTTCTGGTAAATCTCACCTGCCTCTGGAATGGTTTCCTTGCATTAATTCAGCTTAGGAATTGAAATGAAAGCAGGGGGGGAAAAAAAAAAAAAAAAAAAAAAAAATCAATGAGAGGCTTAGTCAATATGACCAACCTAATGCATTAGATTGTTTCGCTCAATTACCTTTCTTTTCTATAGCTTAATTTAGATAACCATCAGGTAAAAGAGGAAAAAAAAAGCTATATACAGTTAATGCAACAGAAGGTATCAACTGATTTAAGCAGCTGGCCAAAGCACTTCGCAATGCATCTATCCCTTGGTTAAATTATTCTCCCAGACCTGCATAATACATGCATGACTGATATTTTTATCTAGAGCATTAAACCTAATGGCTGGTTAGTTGAAATACAAAACTGTTCTGAACAAATTCATGAAGTTCAGAGAGCTGGTGTAGGTCCCAGAAATACCCATCTGTCAATACGTTTTAGTAGTCCCTGCAGCCTCATACTGAAAGATCTAAAGACTCTGCATTTATAAAGGGCTGGGTACATATTGGCAGTTGCTTGGGTTTAACTATGTATTGATATAATATTCTGAAAATCAGGAGAAAATTCTCAGAATCTGAGATGTAATAGCTCAGCCAACTACAGCAAACGGCTAACTATACTTTTTTGTGTTTTCTTTCTCTACAGGTATACCCAGTATTTCCAGTATTGGTAGTAAGTAATAAAACCAGTATTGTTTTGCGTTGTCATTCAGCTTCTTGGATCTAATTTCCCAACATCCCTTTCTGTTGTAAATAATGTTTCTCTGAAAATGTGCTCTATAGTGCAGGGACTATGTATTGGCCTTCCTCTGTTGCATTACCACGTAACAATATTACATGGTCAGAGAGAATGTCAATCCTGACAACACACCTGCCTTCAACTGCAGATTTTCTGATCAGTTCTGATCAGCAGATGAAAACTGAGTGATATAAAACTGAGTGTTATACAGAGAATTAAGACACTGTTCCACAGAAAATACCTGTTGAGCATCTTTTCCAAAAAAAACCCTGTTTGCTAATAGCAGAGAAGTATAGGACCATTAATTTTCATGCAGGTATGTGTGTGTAAATTCGAAGAGCAAATGGAAGAGTTTATAGATTGAAGAGTTTTCATTTTTATGAAGTAGCTTAGCAAATGCAGTGTATCTGCTGGAATCTTTGCATTAATTCCAGCAGCCTTTGAACTGGGCTTTACTCCACAAAATAAATAGAATTGTGTTCCCTCACAAAAACCTGCTTTCCTGTATGCAATTGAAGCACCAAAATATTACACTTAAACTATAACAAAACCATAACACCGTTATGTAAAGAACCAGTATATCAATGAAATAGATGATTAATTAGATAAAACACTTGAAGGGACTAAGTGCACAGTAGCTCAGCTGTGAGTCTAGCTGGGTTCCATAGCTGAGAAGTGCACACAGTCATGACACGTTAGCTGATTACAAATAAAGCAGGCAGGTAGAAATGGGATCCTGCTGCGGCTGACTGAAAGAATATTCCCCACAGCCTCAGCTTTGCAGAGGCTTTAGACACAACTTGTGTGATGCAGGACTATCACAATGATAAAATATTACAGTAGTAAAATGCAATTTGCCATACCTGATATCCAACTGAAAACCTTCTAATAATTTGGGTAAAACTGCCTCACTTCTTACGTTGCAGGGTCAGGTCTGTCAATTTATAAATCAGCTCAGTTTACTTAAGCTCATGAATGGCGCTGATTTGTTAAGCTCTAGACATGAAGTTAAATGCCATCGAAACTAGCCTCCTTGCAAATGAGAGCAGCATTAACAGCTCACTGCCATGGCATCTGTTTTGCAGCTTTAAATGGTGAAACAGCATCAAGGACAATAACGTGCAAATGAAAGCCTTCAATCTTAATAATGTAATTTTCCTGCTGTAGTATCTGCTTTGGCATTGGCATGACTGCAAATGCATAGTGATAATGCTATTTTCAAAACCTTGTGTTTATATATGTATTTTATAACCAAAAAAATGAACTAAATGAAAGAGAAGTTTATGTCACTGTTCTCAGGAATATTCTTGCCATTAATAAGAGAAATGGGATGAATGGGAAAATAGCTCTTTGGAGTTTGGTTGTGCTATAGTTTTAGTACTGTGTTGCATGGACTATATGGTTGTGTTTTCACTTCACACTCCATACAGCCTTTGTCACCACATCTACCATTTCTGAGCATCAGCAGATGTTGGCCTTTGAAAACTTAATAGGGAAACTCAAATACCTTTTTAACAATGGTGACCTGAAAGGATGCATTGTTGACCTCTTGGTATTTTACACTGGGGTGATTAGTACAGTTTATCTATTGCAAATGGAGAAAATTCTGTTTAATATTCCATAGGAAGTACAAGAGTTTCTGCAAGTCTATCCTTTATCTTTAATCTGCTGTAAATGTCTTGGAGTAAAATGTGGTAGAATTCAACAAATTTCTTTGCCTACCTGGAAAGGATGAAGCATGAGCAATCCTTCGTGAGCACGAGTAAATACTGATACTCTGCTTGGTTTTTTCATGTATTTTTTCTTAAATAGCTCAGGGGGGAAATACTTCTACTTGCACAATGTTCTGAACATCTTTCCTATAAAATAGAAATAGCAGAATTATCGTTAAACAAGGATAGAACCCATAAATTTATCCTGGTTTCTAAGAGAATTTAACAGAAGTACAATTAACACATAAAACCAAACAAGATTAATTAGTTGTGGCTGCTTTAATGGATTCTGCATGATTTCTTCTTTTGTCTATGCTAATACAATGTTTGTGTTCATATTAGCAGAGTTTTTCCCCATCTGGGGACAGGAAGTTACTCTCAGGAGATACAGTTTGGGTTTTGTTTTGCCTGGCAGCAAACACTACCGGGGGGTATTGGCTTTTGTGTGCTTCAAGCTTTTCTAGTATATAAGGAGGATGGGGTTGGGGCGGGGGGTTATGAAGACTAAACTGCCAGCATACAAAGAAGATGCCCCTGCAAGTGATGTTCATTTAACACTTTTAAGACTGCAATGAAAGCAAGTAAAGAAAAAATGAAATATATTTACCTGTGTGCACATATATGTATCATTCTCTATTCCTTTTTTACCTCAAAGGATCTTGTATTAAAGCAGCTCATCATTAAAGTTTGAACACAAAGATACAGTGGTCATTAAGTAAACATCCTTTCTGATCATCTAGAAGGAAAAAAAAAAAAAAATCAGAGCTTTCCCATTAAGGTCATTTGTACCTGCTGTTGTCTATCAGTTGAATAATAGGTTCTCTGGTCATTTCCAGCATTCTTGATTCCAGTGCTGGCCCTTTCAGAATTTTTCAGCCATGTCTGAAAAAATACTGGTGAAAGTGTTAGCAATTAATGAGTCCCAAAACCATTTCATGATTTTAAGCAATGCTTATATACAGTAAGTAAATTTTCTGAAAACTACATTATTTTACTTGCTAAAATAATGATTGTACAATTTTAGATAGACCAATGCATCAAAATGTTTATTATTGTGACCAAATATCAAAGTTACTAATCCGTACATGTATGCCTTCAAAAAGTTGAATCTTATAAATCATAGCTTCTATCTTTATTCCTGTAAAGCATAACTCCACTAATTATGCTAAACAGTTTGTTATAAAGGGTATAATTAGATACAGGATAGGATAGACATGATGTGCAAATAGCTCTGTGTGGGTGATTATCACCTTAAAGCCTGCTGGTGGCAGATGAGTCAGAGTTTAGAGACAAACCGAGCACCCAAGTGCAAGATGCAATCACGATAATCAAATGGTATTTTCTGCTTTGTTCTCTACGTTTTTGTTCTTCTTTATAGCCAATTTCAAATTAACACAACTTTTTTTTTTTAATGATAACGATTGCAAGACACAAAAGTTAAAAAAAAAGACTGGATGGGCACACTCTTATTTTATTGTTTTCTTAACCTTGAAAGATCTAGTAGGTATTTTTCTGGAAGTAAAATACCATCAGGATGAGTGTAGCTTTATTTGTTTTATATATTTGTTATGAGATTTTAATGTGGTAAATGTATGTCTTAAAAGGTTGTGAGAGCAAATACTAGCACTTTTTTTTTTTTCTTTTTTATAATATCACAAAGTATTTTGGACCTGATTTTGACCCCTTGCAGTAACTGAGAAATTACCTCATTAAATTTATAGTCACGGGATTACAATGACAAGCTCTGGACTAGAGTATATGCACAACACCCACATATGTCAGTAGGATATAAACATGCATAACTAGGTTGTACATTACTTTTCTATTATTATTTGAGGCCAAGTTTTTCAGAGAGCGCTGTACTGTTGAGACACCATTAAGATGTTCATCTCCTTAGAACATTTAAATACTGCCTTCAGACAATATCTATTATTTTGGACATACTAACAAAATGTTGTCATTTCAATTCAATTTCATCCAAATTTGACTTTTTAATAAATAATATTGTTAATCAGGCTCCTAGTCTAAGGCAATCACATTATCTAAGCAACTGATTATAACATCAAGCCAGTAGCAGTATTTGTTTTCCCTCCTTTACTTTAATACTTTGAAGCACTCAGAATTTTTCACTTTAACAACTAGATTTCCCATTATATTAAAACACTACTGGGCTGAAAGAAAATACTGATAGCCTACGTGGTATAACGCACTCATTTGAACGCTGGATCTGAAAGAAATTTAACATTCCAAATAAAAGTCATTGTGAGTAGTTTATTTGCCTGGTAGGATTCATAACAGAGCCAGTTTTCTTCTGCGTAACTAGGATTTCACCCTGGAAGTTCAGTGAGCAGAGTGCCTGCGCTGACACCAGCACTGAGCAGAAACTGTCTCTTTGCGGAGTGTTTTCTGGTGCAGGGTCGGAAACTACCAACGCTGCTCCAGGGAGCACTGACAGGTTGTTGGGGTGGGATTTGGGGGAGCCTTCGTTTCAGTTTTTGTTTTGCCAGATCCACCAATTTTAACAGATAAGAAGAGCCATTCTCACCAGTCTAGTACACGTGGCCACTTACAGTTTATTATTGTTTCTCATTCTTCATCCCGCTTTACCTTCATCATCTTGGGTTAGTTAAAAATTGTGTATCAGTCAAATTGTCTTTTCAGTGCTTTTTTATTTGCTTATATATGTGTGAAATTACTTAGTTCACAGTTATCTTTGTTTGAACCTTTAATAAACAATCAAGTGGTAGGACACTATAGAAAATAAGATACCAACATTTCAATATGTGCCATGGTGCCTGTGCAAAACACATTGCACTTGCAATATGCAAGTTTAGCTATAGTGACTCAGGGAAGTTTATAGAGAGCAGACATCATCCACGAAGATATTTAAAAATCTAATTATCTATAAAGCTTGGGGAGAAATTGCTAGGAAAAAATGCACTTTATATTTTACTCTCTCTTTTCTTCCATTCCCTTAGACATGTAATCAGTTTAGGACATAGAGTGTAAGGGAAGAATGAGGTTTCGAAGTCAGCATTCTGATTTTTCAAAAAAGATCTTGATTTACTGTTCTTCATCAGTTGTGAACTACTGTACAATAATCCTAGTCGACCAGCCAACTTCAGCATCTTTGTAGGAAAAAGCAGAATCAATCAAAATAAAAAGGAACCCCCACAAACTATCAACAGAATAATTTACTTTTTTTGTCATGAGAAAGTACCT